TGTAATCCACTCTTGTCAACCAGGGACACGGAACATGTAAGAAATATGTATAAATAAAGTAGAAATATTGAAAAGAAAATACACATTGAATTAAAATGAATAGTTTAGAAAAAAAGATAGGGATATAAAGAAGATATGGGATAGGAGGAGCAAGAGAACGGAAATTAAACCAGATTGGTTCCTTTATATAAAAAAAAGCTTTGTAGCTTTAATCTCAAAAATTTGTTCTCGCGCGCACACACACACACACACACACACACACGCACACACACACACACACACACACACACACACACACACACACGCCTTTCACCATAATAACTTCAATAGTATCTCGACAAGCGTGACCCGTGACTTACAAGTCGTCTTTGATGGTATTATGACTTAAAGATTGACCTTCAGAGGCGTCACATATTCTGTTGTTGGAGGAGAAAATACGATAGAGAATTTTGTATATTTTACAGGTGTGTGTGTGTGTGTGTGTGTGTGTGTGTGTGTGTGTGTGTGTGTGTGTGTGTGGAGAGCAGGATACATATGAATGGAAGAGAAGGTAGAATTGAAAAGGAGTTTGTAAAGGTGTGAAAAGGTGAAGGGGTTGAGAGAAAAGTGTTTGAAACTACTGAAAGAAGTGTTATGAAATGGTAAAAGAAGTGTTATGGAATGGTGAAAGAAGTTATGAAATGGTAAAAGAAGTGTTATGAAATGGTAAAAGAAGTGTTATGAAATGGTAAAAGAAGTGTTATGGAATGGTGAAAGAAGTGTTATGGAATGGTGAAAGAAGTGTTATGAAATGGTAAAAGAAGTGTTATGAAATGGTAAAAGAAGTGTTATGAAATGGTAAAAGAAGTGTTATGGAATGGTGAAAGAAGTGTTATGGAATGGTGAAAGAAGTGTTATGGAATGGTGAAAGAAGAAGTTAAAAGAAGTATGGAATGGTGAAAGTAAAGTGTTAAAAGAAGTGTTATGAAATGGTGAAAGAAGTGTTATGAAATGGTAAAAGAAGTGTTATGGAATGGTGAAAGAAGTGTTATGGAATGGTGAAAGAAGTGTTATGGAATGGTGAAAGAAGAATTAGGAAGAATTGAAAGAAATCCACAGAAGAGGAAAATCACGAAACAATTGTAGGATGTTTCTCCTTCTTTCTAGCTTACGTCTCCCTTTGTTCTACCTTATGCCTCTTTCTCCCTCCTTTATACTTCATTCTTCCTCAGTTATATCTCCCTTTCCCTCCTTTGTCTACCTCTTCCTTCATCCTCATAAAATACCTCCAGGCATTTACCTCTCCTGGTCCTCTCATCATCCCATCCTTCACGCGAGGGAAAAAAAAAAGAATCATTCCCTTACGTTTGCCTTCCCCCTCACCCAACCTTCCCCCTCACCCAACCTTCCCCCTCCCAACCTTCCCCCTCACCCACCTTCCCCTCACCCAACCTTCCCCCTCACCCAACCTTCCCAACACCTAAAATAAATATTCCTCAGATGTAATTTCCTACCCCCCACCCCTCGTAATGTGTATGTCCTGTTTGTGTTTTATTATGTTGAATTAAAGGGAAAATACAATAAATATAATTTCTGGATTACTTTTGTTTTGTAGGATTTGTTTTAATAACATTTGTGTTTATAATGGGGTGTAGTTAAGTTTGTCGTATAAGCAAAAGACGTGGTTAATCTTTTTTTTCGGGTGACGTAAGTAGTTGTTCTTGCCTGATGACGTGTAGATAACGTGTTGAAAGACGTGGTGCGATTTTATGTCAGTGATGGACGAGTTCAGACGGTTAGTACGTATAATTTGTACACAAGACGTTAATATATTCAGGTAGTGTGTCCAGACGGTCTATGCAGAGAACCTCAAGAGTGTGTTCAGAAGACACATACGACAACGAAGATCATGTCACGAGCCGCAGATTCTTTTTACCAGGATGTCTTATGTTGAGTTAAGACACTTTGTGGTGTGTATCGTTCCTTGTATTTTAGAATAAACTGCGACTCTGAATTTCGTGTTTATTGTGTGCTGTCAAGAGAGTCCAGGTAAACACAGATACGGTGTTACTTGATGGCTCCTGTGCAGTGGGAATGTCTAAAGTGGGTCTTTCTCGCTCCAAATTTCAGGGGAGAAAGTCGTGGCTGGGCTGACGTTGTTTATGTGCGACACGTTTCACCTTAAGAGCTTTTCTTTTCCTCCACCACTGCCATAAAGGACAAAAAGTTTGGGTATGGTCTATACAACAAAACCACCGTTCTTACTACAGTTTTCCCAGTGTTAGAACTTTTACCTTTGTAGCAAGATATTCCTTTGAAAACATAGAGCTTGTTAACAACAGTGTGCGGGGAGTGTGACAAGTAGCGGGGCAGCCTTAAGTCGCCGCCCTGAAGGAAACTGTCTTGTTCGCTTATCATCCTACTCCTGGGAACACTGATTGATCATCTGGCTGAACCTAACACTAGTACGAGTCTCAGTGACGTACTTCATTGTTTAGTAAAGGATTATCTTATGATACTGTGTATTTACTATGTATCTTCATATCTTGCGAACTGTTTCTGATGAATATCATAAAGAGTCGCTATTCTATCACTCATGAGAGCCGAGGGAGTCTCCTGGAGGTGTAGACAGGACGTGGCCTCACTCAACACTGTAACACACAGCTCTACTCCAGGGAGTTCCAAGCCGCTATCGACAACACAACTATAACTTCATCAAAAGTTGAAATTCTATTTGCGGTTTCGGGAACTATGATTTTAGCGGACTTTTAAAGAAAAATTAACCATTTATCGATATACTGTCGAGCATGGATCTGTGAGAGGTGTGGGTGAGTGGGTTAAACATTAGTGTCCGCACCATCTATAATCCAGAAATAGTTAACATTATTTACATGATGGCTGGTATCCTTAAGTCTAGGCTTTACACGAGAAAGGCACTAAGGTCATTACCCTTAATTAGACAATGAAGACGTGGACAAATGATTCTCTTAAGCCAGTTTGAACACTGGGTCTTAGACACTTAAACCATACACTTCCTTATCATCACCTCTATGCATCTCCCACCTACACCTATCTGAGCTTCAATTGATAGAACAGTCGAACGGGGCCCCCACCACCACTACCCTCCTCCACTACAAGATCTCCTCTAGGGGCTGTACAGTATCAGTTGTTCCAGAGTGACACCCCAGAAATAGACCCACATCGAGGACTATTTCCCCCACCACGTGAGCTTTACTATCAAGCCAAATGTTGCTGGGGGACTTTTTCTTCCCTTTCTTGCCTGGCTCAAGTGATGGATAATCGACATCTCCTGAGTCTGAGCCTGACGTATGGCTGACAGGAGAACGAGAGGGAGGTGGAGGGGGGGAGGAGGGTTAAGAGGTGTGAGAAGGGGGGAAGGTGTGATATGAGAGAGAGATAATGATTGGATTACAGAAAGATATAGTAGGGACGAGGAAGATGATAATAGAGAGTGAGAGAAGGTGAGAAAGATGTAAAGAAAGAAAGAAAGAGAATAGGTTGGAAGAAGGTGGTGAAGGAACGGGGGGAGAGAGGGTGAGAGGAAAGGAGGCAAGGAGGAAAATGAGACAAACAGGAGGGAACGGACGAAAGCTGGTGAATGAGGGAGAGAAGGAAAAAAATGGACGGGAACTGGAGCGAGGTTGGCTGGTTATAGAAAAGAGGGCGGGGGAAATGAACTTGAGGGAGACCCAGAGAATTAAGAATATAAAAACTAAAGGGAGGAGGGGAGAGAGGGGGGGGTAAGAAGGGGTAGAGGGAAGGAGAAAGAAATGGACGAGGAGGAGGAAGGATGAGTTGAGGGACGGTAGATAAAGGGAGGGGGGAGAAAGGGTAAGAAGGGAAAGGAGAATGATGAAGGAGGAAAAGAACAGGAAGGATCGAGAGGGAAAGGGAGGGTAAGGAGAGAGAAAAGAGAGGGGAGCAAGGAAGGGAAGAGGAGGGGAAAGAGCTAGACAAAGTGCTGTAGAGAGAGAGAGAGAGAGAGAGAGAGAGAGAGAGAGAGAGAGAGAGACAGAAGCTGGTGAAAAGAACTCTCACCTTCTGGACAAGGGGAAAAAACACCCTCATATACATTATAGAGGAACCGGGATTTAGGAAAGCAGGAAGGAAAGATAAGGAAAAATAAAAGAATAACAATAAAGTAGGAATTGGGGAAGATTTAGGCATGGAAATAAACAATTGATTCCCGCAATAAATTTTAGATGAATTATATACAAAAATTATATAAAATCGCGTGAAATTCCTTATACAAACATGGCGATAGTAAAGAGATTCATTATATATCCGTCAACACGTGTCATCTTCTCTTCATTAGTTTAGTTACGGGCATAATCAGTATTTTATATGGGAATAATGACGTAAATAAGTAAGTGAATATAAGGGTTTGTTATTCAAAGAGGAATTACATCCATCTACTTTCTCTGTTTGCTGGAGTGACCTAACACACCATGACCGCTGGAGTGACCTAACACCCCCATGACCTCTCCTGACATGTGTTGGACCGCTTAGTCTCTCGTATAGCTGACCTCTTCTCAGTCACTCATCGTTAAAAATATTTAGCTTAACGTCTGAGATTAACTTCATTCTTTAGTTTCTTTTCTTCCACGATGTTGATCCACCTTTCTCTTTCTTCCTCATTTAGTATTTACATTTTTTCTTTACCTGTCTTCACCTACCTGCCTCTACTTACCTGCCTCTACTTACCTGCCGTTACTTACCTGCCTTCACTTACCTGCCTCTACTTACCTGCCTCTACTTACCTGCCTCTACTTACCTGCCGTTACTTACCTGCCTTCACTTACCTGCCTCTACTTACCTGCCTCTACTTACCTGCCTCTGCTTACCTGCCTCTACTTACCTGCCTCTACTTATCTGCCTTCACTTACCTGCCCTGACTTACCTGCCTTCACTTACCTGCCAACGTGATAGTAATTCTATTTTACCATTTCTTAAACAAATTAGATGTAACAATTCACGTGCATATAAAAAAAATGGCTTACCTGAGTGACGATTAGTAGGGACACTGGCTATGGTCTCAGCTGGCAGGACGGAAGGCTCTGAGCGGCCCTTGGAATTGGCTGCATAGATCCTGATGGTGAGGGAGAGTCCAGAGGGCAGCCCACGCACCGTGAAGAAGGGCGTCTTGCTAGTCACGTTGGACTGTAACACCAGGGAGGAGGAGGAGGAGGAGGAGGAGGAGTTAGTGCAATCATAGACGTGAGAGATCAATACCTGATATACACAGGTAATTAAGTATTCATGGAATTAAACAAACATAAAGACGTGAAAAAAATTCGAGAGAAATATATTTATGAAAATGATGTCATGATGTATATGTGATAACTGATTATAGTTAGATGAATAGAAACAATAAAATATTCGTAATTATTCAGTAAAATCGTCATTTATTCTTCCATGCCTCTCATTATGCATACGGACTCACTCAACACTGTTACCTCTGAACGTTACGGTAAGGTCTCCATTATTAATTCTCACGGGGAAGTTAAATAACAGCTGCGGTGATTACAGAGTAGTCCTGGGGTAGTTACAGAGTAGTCCTGGGGCTACCTCAGCCTTCATACCACTAACTCCCTCAATGACCGTCACTCTTATACGCCGCCCCCCTCTGTAGCGGGAGTCTTGAGGAGGACGTGTGTGTGTGTGAGGGGGGTCTTAGCATTTTTATACCTATCCTCCCATAGTTTTCAAGACCATGGGGGCGGGTGGATGGGGGTGGAGGGCTGTAGTGCTGAGTTTGTTATATATGAGAAGGAAGGAAGAGGAGTCGGCTGGGTTAGCGTTTTTATATCTTTGGGGATGACCTAGTCCCTGGTGTTACTATTTATATGTAAATGATTGTTTAATCTTAGTGTTTTTATAACCTAACCATAACCTAACCTAACCAAACCTATGCGGTAGATTCAGTGTTGACGTTAGTAAGAGTAAACAAGCTTTAACCACCATGATAACACTAAACGCTATGTGTGTGTAGGACGGAGATGAGAGGAGGGGGGTGTGGTTCTTCTCTTTTGTGCTGTTGTGTGTTTGGAAGGGAAGTGGAGGGGGGGGTTCATTTCTGTTGTGTTGTGTTAAGGGAAGTGTGTGTGTGTGTGTGTGTGTGTGAAGAGAGGGGCGTTTGTGTAGCCTCGTGTAATAAATAGCAGAGTGTAGGGATGATGTAGCCTTTTGTGTTCCTGAGTACCGGACAACTCTGGGAGATCTTAGGTTAGTCTTTGTAGTGTCTGGATTTAAACAATACAGCCTGATCATCGTGGTGTTGTTCTTCTAGGAGGCAATTCGGGACTACAATCTTTTGTTGATAGTAGGTGAGACGGCGGGGGGGTGCCGGAAGTGATACAAGGTTGTTGGAGTGTTTCTGAACTACCAACCCTCTAAAGTGAAGCATCTAGGCACACACACACACACACACACACACACACACACACACACACAACAACAACAACAACAACAACAATGCACAGTGTGTTTGTCACTGGTAGCGGGGTGTCTGGCCTGGGAATGCTGTTGCAGCGTCTAACAGAACCTGAGCTTGTTTGATCCGATTGTCACCCTCAATACCCGGATCATCACTGCTCATTTGACATCTATATACCCGGTGAGTGAGGGACGTGTTCATTACCAGCGATTGTTGATGGAGAGGGAGGTTGTGGGGAGGGGAGGAAGGGGAAGAGGGAGAGATTGAAAGTGGGAATAGTGGATAAAACGTGGAGGAGAACTAGGAAAGAGAAGGTAATTATACAAACTGAACCTTGACTTGGATGAATTAAGATGTGGGAGTATATGAGGAGGAGGAGAGAGAGTGTGTGTGTGTGTGTGTGTGTGTGTGTGTGTGTGTGTGTGTGTGTGCCCTCTTACCCTGCACCTAATTACAAGGGGTTGGTATTTATGTTTCATTAAGAGGCTGTTGTCATTAATTTGCTTCATGTTGTGTGTGAACGCCACTGACGACAGCGCTATGTTCCCCCTCATGTTCATTATGGAATTTGTCTACGCGAGGCAATAACAACTGCCACACTACACTGTCAGTTTCCAGACGCTAGCTGTTTACTTTAATTATGTAAGTATGTTCGCAACAGCATCTGTGTGTACAGTACAGCAATAGCAGCAGCATTTCAACAGCTGTATGGAGAATATAATACTCAGCATTACAGTTACTGCAGCATGTGTTTACACTATAACAATAACAGTAAAGTTCCTTCATGTGTGTGTGTGTTTTGTTTATATTCACTGTATTATTGAACGTAGTTGTATGTAACTTGTCGCTATAACACAACAACTATACAAGTTAAGTGTAATGTTTCTATCATCATCATCATCATCATCATCATCATCATCATCATCCTTTAGGAGAACAGTTTGTACAAAAAAGTTCCGAAGACGTCGATATAATATTGAACAAGAATATTTTTAATACCAGGGAAACTTTTACTCGCACTCCTTGAAGATGCTGGCGGTAGAGGAAGGCCCTGGGAGTGGGAGGAGCAGCGGGTAGGGAGCGGCAAGGGTGGAGGGCAGGGGGCGGCAAGGACCAGAGGCAAGGGCTGGATGGGTTAGAGTTCTGTGACTAAGTGACTGAGTAAATCGCTCAGTCCGCACAAATACTCGAGAATTAAGGGACTGGTTTATGGATTCAGAGTTGGCACGATGTTATCAATGGCGTCTGTGTGTGTGTGTCAAGACATTTATAGTGTTCTGTGTCGTGGCAACCTGAACTCCTGAATATTAGGTAACTTACAAAAAAAATATGACGCAACACTGATTTCTTAACTATTGACACTGTAAATCCCTCTTTTTAGACACTCGGGTTCCTTTAATATCATCTTGTTAGCTTCGTATACATGGACTGATTCTGAATCTACGCGCAATACTTAATAAATAGTGATTCCTTAGTATATATTGGAATGGTGGTGTACCCTGACCGGCCAAGACTACCTTTTGGATATAACGACGTAGATCAAGGTGAACTGCAGCGCTTAATAATGCTCTTGTGTATCATATGAACGAATATCGAGTTGGATCTTGCATTATCTCGTCTGTATTCAGCATCGTGTTTGTTGTTGTTCGGTTCACTTGTTACCTTTATCTCGGCAAACTTAACAGACGAGAGTTTACACACACACACACACACACACACACACACACACACACACACACACACACACACACACACTGCCTCCTGATAATTGGAGAATACATACAAAAACAAGTTCTTTTTGTTTTTTCTCCTTGAACCTATAACAGTAGTGGAAGCACCGACGGATCACCTAAATGCTTCATCCTCTCGTCTGTAACTAAGACGAAGGTTATATATGGAGAGGCAGTCTATGGTCTGTCCTGAGCTCTACCACTTGAGTTATTACAAGTAGGAACGAAGATGGAAGAGCTCGTAAGTCAGGTGATGGTGAGGGGAGCTACTGTATACTTGTCCATCTCAATATACATTACTATAAATTTCCTCATTAACCTTCGTTCCTTGAGGGTGAGAGGACACTCGTTGGGAATATGAGGAACAAAAAAAAATAAGTTTCATTAGTAAGAGGAAATATGTAATTAATTTTGATATATCTCTGGAATGAATAAACTCGGCCTGGTGATAGAAACGGCGTGAGAGAGGAATTAAGAAAATATATTTAATTAAATGGTGAACTCACCCCTCCGATCCGTGCAAAAATTTAATTAAAAAAACCCAGAAAAATTCATGACTAACACACTGATTGTAATGACGAAATAGAAACAATCATAGTCTAGCCGTAACCTGACTATAATGAAAAACAACCATATTAAATCAGGGTTAAGATAAAACAAAATGAATGATCAAAAGGAATACTTGACACAGTAAAATCAGGCATACAATGTGGGAACCTGTAAACACACTCACACACACACACACACACACACACACACACACGAACACTCTGGTCACCATCACATCGCCAGTACGAGCAATTACCACCGCCAGACGATCCTCTCCACCTGGAAATAACGCGTAAAAGAAAGCCACAGCAGAAGGTCGTTCATCCTCCTTGTGTCATCCAGGGCGATCGTTTATGGCCGGGACACGAGAGACGATTATGATCAATTACTCTTATGAATCAACCAATCAATCAATAAAGGTGTCATCAACAGGTGTCATCAACCACGGCTGACCACTCCTAACATTAACGCCACGCTCTTTCCCACTCCTCCCAGGGTTTGTCTCTGTCTAGGGAGTAATCAATTAATTTCATCTCCTCTTCCTCGGATGTGCTTCACTTCCCGACTTCTAAATCTTTTCCCTTAATATTTACACTAACATCTCTTCTCGTCTCATCCTATATTGAAGGAAAGTCTCTAAATAAATGTGATCTAAACAAAAGAAAAAACTGTTAATTTTCCCTCACCTTCAGCTTCCGGCCTTCCGTTTCGTAGACCTCCATGACAAAGCTCTGTGGCAGGCCGCCGTCGAACCCTTCCTCACAGCTTACCTGCACGGCGTCGGTACTCTGGTTCAACACAGTGCAGTTCTTGAGGGCGTCGGGAGGTCCTGAGAGTAGCGGGAGGGAAACGAGGAGGGAATTAGTAAAGTCTACAGTAAAGATTATCATAAAGGAGTTAGGAGAGAGAGAGAGAGAGAGAGAGAGAGAGAGAGAGAGAGAGGAAAATATGTAAGAAGTTGAGAGAAGGAACGAAGAAGAGAATGCCAGACAGAGAAATAAATAAGAATAAAAGACAAAAAGAAAAGAAAAATATAAAAATCTACAGACATATAGAGAAAAAAATGAGGAATAATAATAAGACATAACGAGGAAAAAAGAAAGGGAGAAAGAGGAGAACAATAAGAAAGGGGAGGGCAGAGGAGTGGGGAGGGGAAGTGAAAGTGGAATAGAGCATCTCCCACATCCTTGCCTGCAGTGAACATATTTTTCTGTGGATTCATTTGCGGATAAAATACCTCCAATTGATATACCACACCTACACTACTAAACAAATTCTGGCTTAAAATTCCCCCCTCTTCCCTCTCTCTCTCTCCTCTCCCTCCAAAAAAGTGAAAAATGAATGAAACACGAGTAGTTTCCCTGTAAATAAAAGATAAGATTAAAAAAAAAAATATAGGCTTCACGTAAATTTTACATATTCAGCTGTAAATTAACACCAGTTAGGGTATATTAAGAGTAGAGTGCTAGTCTATTGGCTGGGTTTACGGGGCTCATGTTTTGCATGCAGTGTGCGCGAGTTGCCAGCGTGTGACGTCACTCCAGGGAAGAGTTGCGTTGGTGGCTGCGATAAATAAACCCATTTTGTCTTGCCTCTATTTACATAATCACATTCGAGAGTGTACGAGCCCTGCAGTTCTTCCCGGCCGGCGTATGCTGGCTCTTTTATAGTCGTCATGGTAACGTATCGTGTTTATTTTCCGTCCTTGTCTCGTTGATATTAGACTCTGCTGCACACGCCTTGTCTGCCACTCTCTGGAGGGATAAGTTGGCGGTCTTTGCCCCAAGGACGGAAGGGCGCACTGGTGATGAGGCCCTCCCTCTTTGTGTGTGTGTGTGTGTGTGTGTGTGTGTGTGTGTGTGTGTGTGTGTGTGTGTGTGTGTGTGTGTGTGTGTGTGTACGTGTGTGTGTACGTGTAGTAAATATCCATACCTAACAAAGATGTCATTTAAAGTCGAGTCAGGGTTTGGACATGGATAACGATATAGACGATTTTCAGTCAGTTTCAAAAGTGTGACGCATTTCTATAAAAGGTTTTTCCCTTTTACATCCTTTGTTTTAATAATTTTCCCTGCTGTTTTTATCGCACTAGTGATTCATATATGTCGTGTCTCCCTCTATAAGAATTCATTGGAAGTGATTTATACCGTTGAGTTTATTTTTTTTCATTAATACACAATTTAGTAGAAACTTCCACTGTTAGTGTTGTCAAGAGCTTCACTCACCATCTAACTCACGCCTTTACTGTTCAACGTCTCTACCAAAACCCTTTTATATCTCTGACTCGCACTCAGTGAAACTCCCTATCACACACTATTTTCCTTTATCATATAACTTCTATTAATTTGAAGCACTAAGTAAGTATCATTTAGTCTGGGTGAATAGATATTTGTCTGATCTCTACCCGAGCTGTTGATCTGTTCAAAAAATGAAGACTGCTTTCACTTTCATAAGAACTCGCCTCACTGAAGAGACTTGTAATAAACCTCCATATTGAATTTGATCTTGGGAAAGGTGATTCTTTCACTATGAGGCACTTCAAGTTAATATTTATATATTTCTTGATAATAACCTAAACAAAAATTATTTCTCCATTCAGAATATGTCTTGTGGGTATTTATTAACTCAGAATAATTTAGTATGCAAGACAACGAAACAACTATAAACTACGAAAACAAAAAATCTCAAAATCTACAATAAATAGTAAAACTTAAGACGAGTATCACCTATGGATCCCACGTTAAACATTATTCATCTCAAGAGTCCTCAGTGCTTAAGGTATTTAGTCTCCTCATCTATGATTTCAGTGACTCCTGTATAATAGAGTGAGGTGGCCGCTACCTTAGCTGTATTTTGACATCTTTATCAATACGTAATACGAGACCTGAATACACAATGATCACCTGTTGTAAGGTATTGGTAAGTGTTAGGCCTGAAAACCCTGATCTTGGTGACCTGTGATGGTGGTATGGCTAAGGTTAGGTTAGGTTAAGTTAGGTTTGGTTAAGTTTGGCTGGGTTAGGTTTGGCTGGATTAGGTTTGGCTGGATTAGGTTGGGTAAGGTTAAGATGGGTTGGGTTAGGTTAGGTTAGGATAGATCATCCACTTATCCCGATGAAGTTGAGTGTTATGCTGTTTACTTAACTACGGGGATAACAACGACCTATAACACAAGGAAAGAGAGACGTAATCTAAACCATTCCCAGTAAAGATGTTATTGAAGAGCGGTAATATAAAATAATATAGTTCACATGATCAAGGTAATATGATACTACTCGTCCACTGAAGTATGGCGACGCTACAGGCCAGTGAATCGAATCATAATAAACATTAAGGCAAAGTTATCATTCTCTATTCTCCCTCTGCACTACATATTATTCTAACAAGTCAATATCCTCATCACTGAAAACTGTGCACATTTATAGAGCACAACACCACTATACTCTAATACAATGGAGGACCACAGTGAGTGGAATTACAGTCACACCGGACACTCATATATATTTGCAAGTAGCTTTGATATAAGATTAATATACAAGATAACGATATCGACTTATCTGTTTGAAACTTTACGTCTATATATTCTGAGTTTTTTTTCTGGTGTTCTAAAATCATGTCTTAAGGTTAGAGTGAGCAAAGACATATACAAAAGCGCTTCCATCCGCGGTCAAATATTTCCGAGCAGACAGATCCCCCAGAGACACTAAAGCTAGTGGTGCCCTCCCGCGGGAACGATCTGCACGATGGTTCAGTAAGTTCATTCAGAATGTCTTCCACAGGGGAGTAGAACTTGGAAAATATTCGATGTGCAGCCACACAAGTCTTCATAGAGTCTTACAGGACCTTGTTTTTACCGTATCAGCAGGTGATAACAAAAACTATATTTATTACTAAGCTTGAGACACATTACACCCTGTGCAGTATTTCCACTTTTGTTTGTGTATTTCATGATTAACTCCAGACATGATATTGAGGTGAACCTGCAATTTCTTGTATATAATGCACTCTGCTTTGCGTCCTGCTTTATGGTAACAGTTTAACGTAGTTTATTCTGATTACCTGCGGAGAGGAGAACATGGTTACGAGCCAAGGCTGCAGATGTATAAATATCAGCATGAAGTACACTAATGTTGTGAAACTTTTACGTAAATGTTCGAGTTGTAGCGTAAGGCGATTCGTGGCAGCTGAGCGGCTGACAGTTCCCAGGTAGTGCCATTATTCGATAAAGTTTGGAGTAGCCATCATCTCCGCTATCTTTATAGGAGTTTGTGGAGGAGCGGGCACCTCGGGGCAACGCCTAACGTGGCAGGCCGGCAGTAACGACGCCGGGGTCCTCGCTCCAGATTTCTCTATATTCGGAAAACAAGGAGCAGGGGAAAGTTTGGCGAAAGCGAAAAAAAAGTCAGAGGAAATAAAAACAAAAAAAACCAGCAGTGGCGTACTTGTCGCCTGTCGTAATAAATCCACTGAACACTGAAGCTAGCCAAGGTCTCACGTTGGTCTATATTCTTAAAAAAAAGAAAAAAAAGAAACACAAGTCCCCAGTATTGTTCTTACTGTTTCTAAAGATGACAAACGAAGCTCCATCGTGTACATATATTAGCTCTCCTGACTACACACCCAGAGCCCGCACAACACATGGCAATAAAGCACTAACAGGTTTGCAGAGACTCAGCAAGTGTAGGGTAGGGGACACGCTCTGGTAACTGTGTCAAACCCTCGCTTGATATACCTTTCACTCAGAGGCCTCCCCCTACCACCTCCTACCACTCCTCGTCTCCCCTTACCTTTACATTATTACCAGATCGGTTGCCCTACCCTATACGTGTTGGGTCTCTCTGGGAATTTATTTGGCCGACTATACAACACATCACAAACTGTCACGTGATATTCAGAACCACCCAATGTTACTGGTCAAATGGGGTCTAGTATTACTATGATCTGATCTATTGAAACTTAGCCTAATCTAACTTAATCTGATGTGACTTAGATCTGACAGCACTTGACCTCTACCGAAACGTATCCTGACCTAACTTAACAAAGCCCATTCTCACCTAACCTAACCTAACCCAAATTAAAGACAAAGTTTGACAACGATTGAGATACACCCAAGTTTCAAAACACACAATAAATTACATAGTGAAAAATACACTCTAAACGCAGAACACTTTTTATCACAATACCTCGACTCTCACAATGAAGTCTCGACACAATTACAGCATGAAGTATTATCATATACACTCACGTACATTTTAACACACTCGGGAAACTCATAAGTACACATGAGGGTTTAATAATACATCTGTGTGACAAACAAACGTTCAGACAAAGTAAACTGGTATACAACTCGTGGGTTCTAACAGGAATAAACCTACACCGGGATAGTGCATGACCAGTAAATTTCAGCATCCGACAAAATATACGTCTGAATGAATTTGGGGCAGCGAGGAAATAAAATCTGGAATTTATATATCAAACTTTCTTTTCTCCCATTGTCAGGTAAATACGGTAGACTCAGCCAGCTGTGTGGTTCACTGTTTTTGTTTATTTACAGATATTGTTGTATATATCTATCTATCGCCTCTTTTAAGCTTATATATATGTACATTGTGTGTGTGTTTGTGTGCGCGCACCGGTAGACGACGGCTTTGATAGGCCGATTGAAGTAGACCTTGGAATGAAAAAAAAACGTTCTTTCTTAGGTGTGAACATAAACAACATTCTCAAGACTATGAAGGACTAAATGTGTCCTACGAGTGTCTGTTGGTGCCCTGCCTTAGTCTCGCTGGCTGAGTCGTAACTAAGTTATTATCCGCCTGCATATATGAATAATTAATCTACGAATTTAGCATTAAACGTAATTATTCATTTATAAAATATATATATCAATCAACACCTAATATTATTTCATATTTATTGAAATAAAGATGAAATGAAATCTCCATACTCGATATTTCTCTCGGTCATTCACCTATATCCCGTGGTTCCTCTGTAATACATACCTGCTTGTTATTTAATAAGCAGCTGGACCAGTGTAGGGGGTAGACATGTACAGGTATGAAGCCAGCCAGCCAGGGGAGGGAGGGGAGTTGTAACACACTTTAAAGGTTACATGCACTGGGTAATGGTGTATTTGTGTAATGATCCACTAAAATAATCCTTTAACAACAACACTAAAAATACAGCAATAATGACGTAAATAAAGGTCATGCTAGAGGGTTCAAAGTGTGTGTGTGTGTGTGTGTGTGTGTGTGTGTGTGTGTGTGTGTGTGTGTGTGTGTGTGTGTGATTGTTCTCTGTGTGTCTTCGTTTATTTACCTGTTGGGTGTACACATCTTTAAGTATCTACTTATATAACTGTAAACTTGTGTCCCCAAAATACTATAAAATAATTTTCTATAATTTTTGGTGCTTAATAAATATGCCTCAAACTTTCAAATCAAGCTTAGGCAAATTTTCCCTTCTGAGTGAATCCGGGAATATTAATGGTAAACAAGCAATGGTGAAGAGTTTTAACATGTGTTTGAATTTGGTTGGCTGACTCCTGCGGCCACGGGATGAGACAAACAATCTTAACAAGATCTCTAACTCAAGAAAAATTTTGGATTCAACTATTCGAGGATTTTGAGTCTTAAATACCCATGTACGTATGTACAGTACATACACATAGAAAAATGTGCAAACATATACACACACAGCTCAATACGTGCACACAGTCATACACACACAAACGTACTCATACACATGAACAATAATTATAATGTTGTCCTCTCGCGTTTATGGCTGGCCGGCACTTGGGCCACCTAGGCGTGAGTTTGTTTACGGTGTAGATGCTGTCACCAACACAACAACCACACCCTAAGCTAACGAGTTGTTTGATCCAGGTGTCAAGGAATAATCCAAGAAGATAGGACAAATCACCAACGTCACTGGTATTTAATCACAGCAAAACAGACACAGTTATGTTCCCTTTAAGATGTTTGTTAATTACGGTACAGGAGCCCTGAGGTAATTCCATGTTGATACAAGAGGTAACCCGCGCCGCGCTCTTCACCTGGAGGAGTGTATAAGTATCCTAGATCAAGGTGCCTACCGCTCATCATCCCTTTGTGTTCACCTTTGAGGTAAACTCGCTTACTTTAATTTTTATAAGCCATATGAAGCTGTGGTTATTTAACGAAGAAGCTGTTAGGTGTAGTGGATCATGAAGGCTAATATTCCTTTTTCAAGTTAAACATATTTCATATCCAGAATATTATCTTAAGTCTCTTAAGAAGAAATAACCACCACACCTCAAATTAGTCGGTGTTGTTCTTCGCCAATTAATTATATGATTTTTTTTACCTTTATTCATTGTTCTATTTTATCTTTAATTTCACCTAACCTGTTAATGAATCACTATCAAATTGAATTACTTTTACTTTATACTTCGCGTCATTTAAAAGGATTATCTTGTTCTGCACACCAACTGCCATGGTCAGCTGTCACCCCAGATCTATGACCAGAGAAGTTTAGTACCGCTGATTACTTCTTAACCCTTTAGAGGGCAGCGCCGCACTTGGGCATTTCATTCAGCGAAGAGAGAATCCTGTCCTACAAAGGGTTAAATATACCTCATATAATACCCTAACCCTTATCGCTGTAGGGTCATACCTAAAATTAAAATATGATTTTAAGTTCACTTCGTCAAAAATGTCAAAGATTACCTTCCTGTTGCCAGATATGTTCCGGCTCCGATCCTTTAAATGTCCCTCTGCTAACTCTTCAAATTTACTCTCTCCTCGCGCCTTTGGACTTCCGCCTCTGATATCCAAGACAACAAAAACAACTTTCTAGTTAAGAATCCCAAATATCCTTGAACATTCCAGGAGAGAAAAGTACCCGAGGCGCAACTAAATGTAGATCAACAAAGTGGTTCCCCGCTTCAATAAACTTTCGGTCTAATGGCGTTGTGCTCGTGCCGATATCTAAGCTCGTAAACGGGCCCCTCAACGAGCGGGCAAATGTTCGCCCGAATGTGTAGTGAAAGCATCTCTATGGCAGGGACGGTGGTATACCCATATAACATGATCCTGAGCGCTGTTTTAACGCTAATACCACCTCCTTCAGTCCACTTATATGCATTGTCATCACCAAGTGACTCATCTTGCCTATAGTACAGTACTCGGCAAACATTACCCATCAAATAATCCACGTCGACGGCCCTTGAGTCCCTTAATGTATCGTTCAGCGGACACTGTATGGCCAAAGACGGAGTTGATTTTTTTTTCCTTTTTCAAGGTGGGTGACTGATGGCCCGAGGGAACACCCAGGGCGGAGGGGTTGTTAGACGGAGGAAGTTCGCTTGTTTGGTTTCTGAGGCTTTGTGAACAGTGATGGAGGTAGGAGGGTGATGGACTGGTGAGAGATGTAGGGAAGATAGTGAAGGAAGGTAAGGGAGAGAGAACAGGAACAAGAGTGACCGTATTCCCCAGGGACGATAATAATGGTCCTGGTCGAAAAAATCAAATGAATCACGGAAAAAGAAAGACGAATGTTGTAGGCTTGACCATTGTCGATTATTTAAGCTGAGTATGAACATCTTAGTGTAAGCGAGTTATCTTCTTGAATAAAGAACGAATAAACGGAAAATAATTAGACAAATGTGTACCAGGTTTTGGGGGCGATATATATACCACGTTATTTGTCTTCCAATAACATTCACTAGGCCCCTATATATATCCAGTGACAAGTAACCTCTCCGTATATAAAGTAACACACACGATTATTCTTCTATTGTAAGTTTTGGCACCATTCATTATTGTCTTTCTAAGTTTGAACTGTATGTGTGCTCGGTGAACTTCCAAGTCCTTGAAGAGAAAAAAGTGTACGAGTTATGTTTTTTGATATCCATGAAAAAATACACTGATTACTGGATGTATTTTTGTGGTTTTCTGAATCTTGTATTGGTTAAAGATACGAGTTGGTTTATAAATGAATACCTTCATCTGTGTATATACATTAAGAGGTCTTCTCATTAGCACTGTCGAGGTTAGACTTACGTTACAGAATCATCAACTTGTTTGAAATACAATTACGTTTAAATAATATAAATTAAGAAATGTTATCATCACTCCCAGGAAATAGATAGTAGACAGGGCAGTACTTGGTGGGTACAAGTAGCGTCACTCTCATGGGTTGCTGACCAACAATAGGCATATGTAAACAAAGAACTCACCTGCGGGAAAAATCCTGAACCTACAGGGCTCTCGCTGCTTCCCCACTGAATTGGTAGCCCAGCAAAACAAGAAGCCGTAGTCGAGCTTGGTGATGGGTGTGTAAGTCAGCTGTACCGGGGAAAGAGAAAACAGGCGTTAGATAGCACACATCTCAGCTTGTGGGTATATTAGTCACCTTAACTGGTAGGGTTGGGGTGAGGAGAGGGTTGGTCAGATTAATTTAGCATGAGAGGATCAGTGAAATGAACCTTGAGGGAAGATAGATCATCGAGTTAAAGTTAATGTAGGTGTGAGGAAAGGTCAGAGAGGTAACGGAGGGAGACGTGAGGAGCAGAACAATGTAGTAAATTATCAAGATGTTGTTAAAGAAGTGCCATAATGAGCAAATTGAAGGGGGGAGGAAATAATGTTTCGTCTACATAACCACCAGAGCAGAGTCTTAGCGTCTGTGAAGAAAGACTTAAGAGGAGGCTTCGTCTGGCAGTTGTTGAGGAGAGTCTTTGAACAATACTTAGAAGGGAAATATAAGCCTAAAAAGACACTAAGTCAAATTAGCATCAAAAGCAATTAAAAAAAAAATATTTGCAAATTATAATATATTTTGAAAACATTAGAACTTGAAGCAATTCTGGAAAGAAACCTTAAGTTAAAGGGACATAAACAATATCAAAATACTCCCAGAATGAATAAAGAGGAGGCGAGAGGCAGGATAGGAGAGCTAACAACTGGGTAAACAAAGTCAAGGTTTTTCTAGAGGGATCAGCTGCTGTGTCAATATACCGCTGACAGCCTATTTTTGGTGACACAAGAACTGTGGTAACTTGATCGGGAATAAATGTTTTGTAGCTCTGTAAATTCTTGAGGACTGTGGCAGTGTTGTGTGTTGCTGCGGGTGTGTCCTCATACATTGTAGAATTCTAGTTTTGATGAAATTCGATAAAGGATAACACGAAGAAACAGTTAAAAGTGAGGTGGTGCGCGAGGGGGAAGCATTAAAAAGGCTCTCAACGTAAATGGTTCGTTCATCAGGCGGAGAGAAAAAGAAATTAGAATGATTGGAAATTCCTCCAGACGAAGGTAAGAAAATTGGTGTGAGAGCGAGGAGCGTGAAGTGTGAGTAAGAGGGAACGGGGAGGAAATTTGGAAAGAGAAATTACTTAAATTTAGATGAAGAATTATTTGAAACATTGATACGCAACTTATTAGATGGAACAAGAGAAATGACTGAGTGAAAACGATATAATAATCATAAGAGATTATTATGTAACTAAAGGTAAAGAGAATAACCATTAATGATTGGACAACTCCTCTTACAAATTCCTGCCTTATTAAGTAACATAGGAAAAAAAAGCCAGAATTAAGCCCTCCCTGGTAATTACTTCCTGGCCAGACACCTCCTGACCCATCACTCTCTCCTGGACAATTCCCTCTCTGGTCTTGGTTCCCCGCACAGCATGTGAACATTGTCAATATTCCACATACTGAAATATTCACCAGCTGGTATATACTGTACTGTATATTAGCGATCACCATTAGCAAAATATTCAGGGTTGTGACGTGGTGTACTGTTAGGTCAGTGTATGGAAACAAAATTACAAAATCAAATGTTCATTATTCGCTAAAACGGCATGGCAGCTGTTGTCTGATTAACACTGGTAAAGTAAGAGGTAATCATCGCTTGTTATCACCTGTAAACCTGCAAAATGCAGTGAGTGCAAGCAATTATGTTAAAATGATTATTATTTACTTAATAGCGATAACTTATGTAATGATTTTGTCTATAAAAATCTGACTGCCACAGACGATCACTAAAATACATAAAAATTTGTATTTTCATTGAAAACCTAACCTAACCTAATGTTCTTTCTGTAGAATTTAGCTGTATAATGATGGTAAACGACTTCTTCAATGAAAAAAGCAAATTCAACCATATACGATTTAATTTCCGTTATGTTTTAGCAACACAAACAAAATATTATTCGTGTTTGGCAAAACACAGCCAGTTCCTTTTTAAATCGTAATCGGCGATTATCCCTATTTAGTGTAACACACACACACACACACACACACCCACACACACACACACACACACACACACACATGTATGTCACTTATTAATAGTGTATATCCGAGAGAAAATCAATATTGGGCAACACGTTGACTCTGACAATCCTTACAGTTCGTCATTTGTCATCACTATTGAAGAGATTTACTTACCTCATTTGTGTAAATTTAACTCGTGAATGTTCATAATTATGACAGAAACTAGATGTCCATTACGTAATTATGAGTTTAAAAAATAGTTTGCGAGATTTTAGTATTAATTTGTCGCGTTTCATTTAAATTTTAATGTTTTGTGCTGTTAACCTTTTATGAACACATCACTAACTCGTCTATTGATCAACCGAGGACCAGTGTGTGGACAACAAACAATTTACACTTTAATGTTTTTCGTAATACTGCAGAAAACTTTTATTAAGAGTGAGTTATAACTAAGACTGAAGGAGTTGTATGATATTTACCTATTCATGGACAGACAGACAGGCAGATAGACAGACACAGATACAAATTAATATCCAGAATTATCAACAAATCTCCGCCACACAGC